TGTTTTTTTTTTTTTTTTTTTTTTTTTTTTTTTTGGTTATTTTTGTCGCCATTCTTGTTTTGTCTTTTTCCTTCATTGACTTCATTCCTTGTCCCTAGGCTAGTGCCTCGGATCCTGCAAACTCACAAGTCCACAAACTTTACCCAACAAAACCTTTCCGCTGAAAACCAGGAGACATCCACCCAATTGGCCAACACAGAACTGATTTTAGATGCATTAATTTCTCTCACTTATTTGGTTAAGTTTTTGTCAACCAGCTAACTTTGTGTTTGATATCAACTTCATTAAACTAAATTTTTTGACGAGAACAGGCTGTATAATAAAGATAATAGAAAAGGGCAAGTGTTCTTACGTGTGCCACATAAATCATAACATAGAAAGTTAGCAACCTTATAACACTTGCAGTATTATATATATATATATATATATATTTGTATATATGTACATATAAAAATCTAACGCTTACTTACACACTACAGTTATTATGGTTGACATTCAAAATGATTACTTGTAGATAGGGGTGTAAGAAATAACTCGGTCTATCCGACCTTACTCTATCTAAAAATATAGGGTTTTTTTGTTTCCGTTTCAAATTAGCCCAATCCGCATTGTGTGGGTAGGGTCGCAGGTCAGGCTCAATTTGACCCGTGAAACCCGACCTGGCCGAACATACAAATGTCCCTAATATAAAAAAAAAAAACCCTACAGCCTTACTTTATTTCTCGATCACTTTGCGTTGCTCTCTCAAGTCTATGAGTTTGAGACTGAGAGTTAGTTTGATATGTGTTGTAAATTGAATTGTGTGATTAGTTAGATATTGTTAGAACCTCGTATTTGTGAGACTTTTTTGACAATTGTGAAATTTGTTTGATATTTGTCAGAAATTGGTATGATTATGGTCATCGTAAGTGTTTGATTTTTTTTTTTAATTTTTGTGTTAGATAGAAAAATTTATCCACTCCTCCACAACCACCCAAATTTCTGAAAGCAATTGTAAGTCCCCTGCTGAAACAGAAAGTGGCCATTGCCAGAACAAAAATCCTGCCTCTGTGCCTAAAGAACCTAGTGCCATGCCCACCCCCACACCCACCCCTACTCCTGTGCCCATTTGGGTCATTGAAGCTGACAACGAAAAGGAGGAGGGAGACGGTAAAAAAAAGAAGAATGGATGGACTGTAAAAAAAAGAGACAGTAAGTAATCAGGATGGACTGTTATTATTATTATGGAATGTGGTTATTATTAACTAATCATGATGGACTGTTATTTAGTATGAATTATGCTTTATTTATTAAGTTATTAGGATTATTGAACTGTTATTAACTTATGAGGACTTTTAGATATATGCTATTTAAGTGTTTTTATGATCTATTGTGTTTGGTTAAGCACTTATAATAATACTAAATGATGTTTAAGCAAAGAATAAGGATAGTAGGGAAAAAAAAAAGGATACACACGTTCTCAGCTTTAGTTTCTAATAAATCCAAACAACAATAGTAGAAAAACTGAGAAAATGACCTAAAATTTGCTCCAGCACTGGCCCAACCGCCCAACGTTAAGGCCAAAACCGACCAACCCGTATAACCCGGTCAACCCAAGCTTACTCGATTAATATGAGCCTACCCGGGTTACGGGTTTGTTGGCTCGGAGGGGTGTTGCGGCCTAAATTTTCCTCAACCTACAGTGTACATTTCAGCCCAATTTCGGACTCAAAGCCGAGTGATAACTTGATTTAACTAAGTTTTCATTCTTAGTAATTTTGTTGGTTTTTGGTGTTTTATAGTGTTTTTATTATGTTTTGATTTCGTTTTGTAAGTTTTTAGTTTGAAGAAATAAATGGTTTAAACCAAGCATTTTTAGAGGAAAAAGAGCTACAATCTGGCTGCAACTAGATATTTTCAGCTGCAGCCTAAATCTTTGGCGAATTTCGGTTGCAGTCAGATTTTTCGGTTGCAACTAGATTTGAGGCAGTGAGCACTTAGAATTTCGGCTGCAACGAGATTCTTTCGGCTGCAGTCGATTGAGCAAACAAGGGCTATGAAAACAGCTAACCCGCTACAGCGGGTTTAATTCGGCTGCAGCGGAAATCCATGAAACCCTAAGCTTCCCTGACGGCGCTGCAACGGGATTTTTCCCGCTGCAGTCAGTTTTCGCGTGCTGATGTAAACTTAGGTTTCATTTTACACTAATTTGGGAGGAGGTATAAATAGAAAACGACCTAAGAACTAAGGAAAGTAGAGAGGGACTTTGGGAGGCAGAAAAACATAACGAAGGAGGGAAATACAAGGTTTTTGGAGATCATTCAAGAAGATTGGATTGGAGCTTGAAGATTGGGAGCTTGTTCTTCAACGAGTTTTATTTCTCTCTTCTCATTTCTCTTTTCTTTTTTAACTTGTATTTTCCTTGATATTGCTTAGACCATGGATATGAGATATGGTTTGATTATGGTTTTTGTTTTGAGATTCATGATGTATATCTCTAGCTAAACTCTTTAAGCTAGGGGGTTATGATGTAGCTTGATATTGACTATGTTTTGAAGACTATATTGTTTGTTGATTAAATTTCATCTCAAATCATTTATGTTTCTCTATGCTATTTGTTCAAATTCATTTACCTAATGAATTGGAGATTTTAGTTGTGTGGATTTAGTCTTGGGAAAGTCATTTTCACATATTGGGACTTGAGAAACACAACCTATAGTAATATTGAGTTCGAGAGACCAATATAACTTGGGTAATCACTACAATAGGTTGGGCTTAATGAATGCTTAATTAATTGAGTTAATAGGGATATTAATTTGGTTGGTTCTGCATATTATTTTACTCAGCACTCGAAAGAGGGAGTAAAATTGAAGTAGGTAATTAACCTAGGATTAATGATTTGAATGAAATTGATCAACAAGTTATCAAGTTGGATAAACATAGTCTAGTTAAGTGAGATCAAAACCCCCTAGCCTTCATTATCATCAAAGTTCCATTTGATCCCTTATTATTTCTAAATTCCATTTTTACTTGCTTTATTATTTTAATTTCATCATTTTAATTACTTGAATTACTCGTATTCGATCGCCTAGATAAAGTTAAAGTTATTGTAATAGCGGTACTTAGTTTAATTTGTAAAAACACTCAATCCTTGTGGAATGATACTTGATAAATTATCACTTTATTACTTGTTATGATTCGTATACTTGCGAGCTCATACACATTAAAAGGAATTTTCGCAACACCGAGCCTACCTGGCCAAGTTACACCCCTACTTATAGATAGTAATCTTTACTAATTGTCATATTTTTCGAGTTGTGAACTTCTCTTGTTCGGTAAGCAGGTTAACTTTCTACCAAAATAAAATAGGAATTTCTCCGGTAGGGTTGATTTTTTGATCGTTGGATATGATCAAAATCACTTCAGACTGAAAAAGTATGCAGAACAGACAGTTTTTTATACAGATATAACGGCTAAAAAGTATGAAACTACTGATAGTCTATTTTTTCTAGTCCTACCAAAAAAGCTCCAAAAAATATAATTATTATAATAGTCATAATAATAAAAGATTTTTTGATACGCCTGACGTACTGGTAGGTTAGGTTTTTTTAATCATTAGATCTACGTATTTTTTTAACTTTTACGTGATTTTATGCAAATTTGACGAATAAAAAATTTAGCCTACTAATATGTTGACGTACCGGAGAAGGTCCCAGTAATAAAAATCAGGCTAGTTATTCAACTCCCAATTCAATTGGTTATGAGAACCATAAAAAGGGTTTATACTTCCCACGTACTTCGATCGATCTATTTCCGAATAACGATTAGTTTTTCTATGAGCAACAAGGGCCTGCGTTGGCTTCGGCTAAAATAATCTGATTGACTTGATGATGCGCTGTATATATGTATGTAAAATATGTTGTATATATATGTGTGTGTATATACATGCTTATGGGTCACAGTCAACTATCAAAACAGGCAAAGATATTAAATGCGGAGTGAACATTAAATTACTTTATGCCCTCATATCCAAATAGCTGACAAGCTTTGACCTCAATGGAAGTGGAGGGTAGTGTGCAAGAATATTCCTGAGAAATCAATTCTCTTAACATTATTTTCAAATACCCATTTTCAGTATCAACAACAAAAAGAAGTGGGAAAGCTAAGGTAGATGGACCTAGATGGCCCTAGCGCCATAGTAGAGGACATAGTGCGAGTGGCGGAACGAAACGAAAGACCTGCACACGATGTACAAGGATGCACATGGCAACGCAGACGCAGGAACAGATATTCACCACATTCATATCAGATGTAGAGAGAGAGAGAGCTCTTAGAAACAAATGTGTGGAGGAATGAGCTTTCCTGGGTTCATGATATCGTTGGGATCTAATGCCGCTTTTATTCTTTTCATTGTCTTCAATGCCTCCACTCCTAGTTCTTTTTCAAGATACTGAATGAACGCAAAATAAATTTAGTTAGAACAGATGAACGTTAACTGTGGCACTCGGTTCTATTGTATAGATGCTAGACCATGGTCATGATAAGGTATTAGTTGGCTGACTTGGCTCATGAAGTCTAGAAGTTGCTTTGAGTATTTTATTTCATGTACTAAGTGGCTACCAAGCATGAGCTACTGAATGAGTACCTTAATTTTCCCCGTGCCGACGCCATGTTCGCCCGTGCAAGTTCCTGTTTAGCAGTCACATACGTATTTTAGTAGCTTAACTTGATTAGAATATAGAAGACTACGGTGACAAATAACCAACCTGAATGTTCTACATTACACTTCAACTAAGATATTCAGAAAGAAGACTTAATTCTGATACGAAGTTATGAACTAGAATTGGCAAGTGACAAATAGAACCAAAATATAAAATGTCATACAATTTACTCCAATCACACAATGACCGCTATAGAAGATAGAGGTAACCATTTTATTTATTTATTTAAATGCTGAAAAGAGTATGTACTCGTACCTTCCATTGCCAAAGCAGTATGGACCATAAAATGGTTCAATCTCTCTGCTTCCTGCCGTTGCTCTTCTTTGGTAGGGTCAAAGAGGATAATTGTGTGGAAGTTTCCGTCACCGGCATGAGCAATGACTGTGCTGTCATCAGAAAAAATACGACATTATAATCTAGATCATTACACTATGTTCACTTTGATGTAGGATAGCAAGTATAGGATATTAGGGGTAAATTACAAATTTATGTTTTTATTGGATTTTGTTTTATTGAGATTTTGGTAAAAGGTCATTGTTCCATGTTTTGGACAGTGTCCTAAAGGAACTGACCCCACAATCATCATCGCCGAGGTGGTTACCACTGTTTGTGCCACTTGACATCAGCTCAGGTCAATTTCAAGGAACCACCACTGTTTGTGCCACTTGACATCAGCTCAGGTCAATTTCAAGGGCTCTGATACCACTCGGCGGGGACAAAGGTCGAACATCTAGAATAAAAACTAGGGAATAACTTTACTGAATCTGAAAGAAAGAAAGAATTCCAAAGAGAAAAAAAAAATCATGTTTGGATGTGGGGCTATACAAAATACGATAGGAATCCTAGTCCTATGAGAACTCTACAAAATAAAATAATATCTAGGAGTTTAATTGAAAAACGAATCCTAGTCCTATTAGGACTGTACAAAATAAAGCGAATATCAGAAAAAGAAAAAAAATTCTAATCAAAGTACATCTCCTCGAGAAGATGAAAAATCCTACTTCAAATAAAACCCTAACTAAATAATACAAAATCCTAATAAAACAGAAATTCTTAATTTAGTCCAAAATATCCAATACAAGCTGTGCTACATCATACTTCAACTAAGATATTCACAAAGGACTTCATTCTTATGTGTATGCGTGTGGCCTAAAACCCCTTGGTCTAATGGCACTGGGGGTTTGGATGGTTTGGGTGGGGTGGGGTTTAAGTGGGTTGCGAATTTAATCCCGTGTTGTATCAAAAAAAAAAAAAAAAAATGTGTATGCGTGTGTAGAAGAAGAGTCATTTTCAGGAGAAAATACCAAACCAATGGGGACGCATCCAGCTCTTGTTTGGACCTTGAAATTAGTTCTGCAAGGTGCGAAAGAGGAACACAGACGTCCTGGGGAAAAATGACAAAAAAAAAAAAAAAAAAAAAAAAAAAAAAGGAAAAACTTTAGGGGTTTAAAGAACTTTAGCGGTTTAAAGCCAACTCTGACTAAAGAATCATATATTATTCATTAACAAAATGCCATTTTGAAAAAGAGTTGAAATCTGCTTAGTTATTGCCAAAAAGTCAATAGTGAAAACTTAAAGATAGATGTAAGAAATTCTCCAATTTCCTACAACAGTATGGTTATGCAGATTGAAAAATGAGATTTAATATTTTTTTTTTTAAGTGTCTTTGTTTCAATTCTCTTTGAGGCTCGGCGACTCCTGAACAGCATTATTGGGAAATAGCTCTCGCACTAAAAGCTAGGAGTTAATCCTAATTAGTTTATAGTACAATGTCAAAAGATTCTAGTCGCAGAACACATTTTTCAGAGTATTCGTTCTTGTACCAAAATTTGACTCTTCAAGACTTAGCATCTCGCTTTGTTCTCTTTCTTATTTTCCTATGAAAAACTAAAAAACAACAGTTGAAAGAAACCAAAACAATCACTGAAGTTATTTTCATTAAACACAGTATTGCAAATTATAAAAAATAGTAACAATAATAACCAATTGTTCCCTTTATCAGTATACCGATATTTTTATCTTTTTCTCATTGCAATCTTACTTTACGGGGGCATAAATGTGCAGCAAACACAGCCTAAAAACAAAGAACGAAAAGCCACACAGAAAAAAAAAAAAAAAAAAAAAGGCGCTAAATTTAGATATATAACCAGATCTATATATCAACCAAATTTCTACTTTAATGATCTCATGTTCTAGATTTCTGTATTTCCTTTTCCCTCCAAATCCTCAAGAGCAGGACGCAGAAGGAGTTGGAGAGCCTGAGTCAAACCCAAGATTTTCCCCCTAAAAACTTCTCTGCTTTGATCTATATGATCTCTACTCTCTCTGCAGCCATCTCAATATACAAAACGGAACGGAATCTGAGTCTCTGAAAACTACAAACATAAAGCTTTATTTATAGACTGAGCAATCCTAACCTCACCAGGACTCCTGATCCAAATAAAAACCAAAATAAAGAAAAGATTCTAATCACAATATATATCCTTAAACTCAAATAACAACAGAGAATGACGAGCCCTAATATCTTAGAACTTCATTTGTAATTTATAAAAACTAAAGATTTCTAGAAAACAAAACAACTGCACAGAATCCCAAAGACCAATTTACTGGCCATAGTCTTAAGCAAACTAAATAAATATTAAAACTGACCGTACTCATTGCCTCAGAATTAGGTTGCATTGCAAAGCAAGCCCAAAGCGCCTCCTTCCTTATCTGCAAGTAAACAAAACCTAAGCTGGTGAGCATATAGAAAAGGGGGCCTGAAATTAACATATCAACAAAAAATTTATGATTGAAAGGAAATAGAAAAGATGTATATACATACAATCATACTACATGTATAAATAATATTTAAAAAAAAAAGACTGTATCCTTCCCAGTACACACGAACTCTAGGCGTCTGAATGCTGATTCTATAAAGAGTAATTGGAAAAATTAAGCTTTGAGGGATGAGTAAACCCAAATATAACTCAACAGAGCATTGAAAGTTCAAATACGAAATATATATATATATATCTATATATATACATATTTACATATCAAATAATATTAAAGCACAAAGCCACAAACACAGGGACAAATCCTAGTCAGTTTATAGGTTAAGTAGTATCTACCCTCCAAAGTTCTTTCTTTGCTTCCGGTTCTTCAGCAAAAACAAAGTCTGAGCCATTGTGTTCGGAAACAATCTTCTGAACAATTAGTGTTTGCTCGCGTGAATATGCCTCTAGAAGCACAAAACACAGCACTCAAAGTTTTTATAGGCAATAAATAAAGATTCAATAGGCAAAAAGACAATTGCTGAATCGTAATTTACCTGTGCCTATGAATTCAAACATTAACGTTGGAGTTTCAGGCAAGTTTTTTCCATTAGCAATATTGATGGCCCTGATTTGAACCTCATCCAGTAGCTCTACCCTTGATACCTATCAGTGATAAGTGGGAAATCTGAGAAGCAAATGAAAATAAATAAATAACATAATGCACAGCTCAATTCCTACCTGTATACCAGAAAGCATAGTAGCAATAGCAACATCAGCTGCATCCTTAACTGAAGGAAAATTACAGATGGCAACCTGCAATAGTATTGAGCTTGAACAGGTTATTTTAAATAACTGCAACTTTCAAAAAAAAAAAAAAAAAAAAAAAAAAAAAAAAAAAAAAAAAAACAAAAAAAAAAAAAAAAAAAAACAAAAAAAAAAAAAAAAAAAAACAAAAAAAAAAAAAAAAAAAAACAAAAAAAAAAAAAAAAAAAAACAAAAAAAAAAAAAAAAAAAAACAAAAAAAAAAAAAAAAAAAAACAAAAAAAAAAAAAAAAAAAAACAAAAAAAAAAAAAAAAAAAAACAAAAAAAAAAAAAAAAAAAAACAAAAAAAAAAAAAAAAAAAAACAAAAAAAAAAAAAAAAAAAAACAAAAAAAAAAAAAAAAAAAAACAAAAAAAAAAAAAAAAAAAAACAACAACAACAACAAATACAAGCCTTAATCCCAAATTAATTGGGGTCGGCTATATGGATTTCTAAAATGAGGTTGAAAATAAATCAATACAACCCATTGGAAGAAATGCCTTATAGAAGAATTGAATCTCATACAAGTAGTTGGAAAATCAAATAGCTTTTTTCTTAAATATAGTTTTAGTTGATGAACATTGGGAGGGCATTAACCGTAAGTTAGAACTATAGAGACAGACCCTTGAGACGGAGAGATTTAAGTTAAGTAGAACGAAGACTGAGTACATGCATTGTAGGTTTACTAATTTGAGAGATCAGAGTGATGGAATTTCTTTGGATGGTGTGGTGATGATAAGCTCCAATCCAAACAATCAATTGAAAATGACAAATCGGAAAGAGAAATGCTAACAGCGGAGCTTTGATTAATATCAATGGCGGAAATTGAGTTACAGAAAGAGATATGGGGATATTCAAGAGATCCCTTGCTCTCCCTAAACTATTTTCTCTCAGAAGTTTCACAAAATGAATAATGCTCCCTTATTCTACCTCTGTTCTATTTATACTCACTATCTCTTAATCCACTCACCAATCCCAAGGCCTAACTAACTACTAACTACTTAACAAATATAACAAACCAACCCTAATCACAAACCACTAACCACTTATTATATTGATTACTAATTACTAACATAATCCTATCATTACTCCCCTCCCCAAGACACCTTGTCCTTAAGGTGTTGATCAGGTAATTGCACTTGAATGATGCCATCTTCTTCCCATTTCAATGCACGTGAACCTTGGAATGTCAAAGGTAGCAGCAACTTTCAAAGAACCCAACTCAGTGCTAATTAACCCAAAAATAGAGAGCCTTGGAAAGGTAAACCCAGCACTTAGCTCGCCGGAATATGCCCCAATCGCACCATAATCATGAAGCCCAACCCCAATTGTGCGAAAATCAGCCTGTCAGAATCATGGTACCCAGTCCAAATCTGACCAGATTTTCGGAACCCAGCCCAAATCTTGCTGGAACTCACGCCGAATATCCCTATTAAACCTATTACGCCTGAATTAGGCCCAACCAAGCCCAATGTGACTCTGCCCACACTAGAATCGCAAGACCCAGCCAAATTCGGGTCTAATTCTCTGACCCGACGAGCGCCAGATGGGCTCAGATCGAGCCTGGCTTCCCACTCCAAATCGCGCAGCCAGACAAGCCCCCCTCTCTGCCTTTCCACGTCTGTCGACGCCCCTTCCACCAGTTCTCCTCCGCGCGGCCTCTGGTTGTAGTTCAGCTCCAGCCCATCGCCAATCTGCACTCCACGGCACCGCTCCCCACCAATCTGACCTCCAGGTCGTGGATCCAAAAGATTATGGTTGAATTGTAACTCCCGCCAACCCTGAGCCCCACCCAGGCCAAATCCAGCGTCGATCAGCCCTCCCCGTTGCAGATCTGGGCTTCCCAAGCCCTAACCGGCATCAATCTGCTGGTCCCGTCGCAGATTGGGTCGATTCTGGTTGAGATTGACCCCTCCGCCGCACGGGTTCTCCTCGCGTTCAGCCACCTTCCCCTTCGGCAATCTGATCTGCCCTTCCTTGTGCGGTTCCACACGATTCTAGCCAACATCTCCAAGTCTGAAAACCCTAGCCTTTTCTCTGGGAAGATCCGCCTCCTTCCCCAGCTTCCGATCATCATTTGCCCTCAGATTGATGCCGATTGATTCAGATCTGAGCGATATCGCACCAGATCGCGAAAAATTGCTTGGAGTGTCATCGGCCTCGCGCGATTCCAGATCTCTTCGCGTTTTCTCTAAGGTCGTTCGTCAGTTTTGACGCTCCAAATCTGGTTGCGACGAGCCACCACCAGAAACATAAAGATCTGAAATCATTCCTACGTTCTATGGCTAAACCTTCATATTCGTTTTCGAAAGCAATCTTTGTGTTGGTCTGAAGTGTTAAAGCAAATTCATCTTGAATTCACTCCAACAAACAAATGGTCGTCTTCCATCCTCCCACTGAAACCAATCTAGTTCGTCATCTTCCATGAATTCCTCTGCAAACCAAATCTTTTCACGTTCTGAAAATCGATATTTTTGATCATATTCTTCCACTTTTACGATCCAAGAATCTGGATATTCTCCTGAGAACATTGGCATTTCTAATCGCTGCCAACGTCCACACGTTCCAGCCATTTCTATACCCAAGAAAGTGCTCTGATACCAAATTGATAAGCTCCAATCCAAACAATCAATTGAAAATGACAAATCGGAATGAGAAATGCTAACAGTGAAGCTTTGATTAATATCAATGGCGGAAATTGAGTTACAGAAAGAGATATGGGGATATTCAAGAGATCCCTTGCTCTCCCTAAACTATTTTCTCTCAGAAGTTTCACAAAATGAATAATGCTCCCTTATTCTACCTCTGTTCTATTTATACTCACTATCTCTTAATCCACTCACCAATCCCAAGGCCTAACTAACTACTAACTACTTAACAAATATAACAAACCAACCCTAATCACAAACCACTAACCACTTATTATATTGATTACTAATTACTAACATAATCCTATCATTACTCCCCTCCCCAAGACACCTTGTCCTTAAGGTGTTGATCAGGTAATTGCACTTGAATGATGCCATCTTCTTCCCATTTCAATGCACGTGAACCTTGGAATGTCAAAGGTAGCAGCAACTTTCAAAGAACCCAACTCAGTGCTAATTAACCCAAAAATAGAGAGCCTTGGAAAGGTAAACCCAGCACTTAGCTCGCCGGAATATGCCCCAATCGCACCATAATCATGAAGCCCAACCCCAATTGTGCGGAAATCAGCCTGTCAGAATCATGGTACCCAGTCCAAATCTAACCAGATTTTCGGAACCCAGCCCAAATCTTGCTGGAACTCACGCCGAATATCCCTATTAAACCTATTACGCCTGAATTAGGCCCAACCAAGCCCAATGTGACTCTGCCCACACTAGAATCGCAAGACCCAGCCAAATTCGGGTCTAATTCTCTGACCCGACGAGCGCCAGATGGGCTCAGATCGAGCCTGGCTTCCCACTCCAAATCGCGCAGCCAGACAAGCCCCCCTCTCTGCCTTTCCACGTCTGTCGACGCCCCTTCCACCAGTTCTCCTCCGCGCGGCCTCTGGTTGTAGTTCAGCTCCAGCCCATCGCCAATATGCACTCCACGGCACCGCTTCCCACCGATCTGACCTCCAGGTCGTGGATCCAAAAGATTATGGTTGAATCGTAACTCCCACCAACCCTGAGCCCCACCCAGGCCAAATCCAGCGTCGATCAGCCCTCCCCGTTGCAGATCTGGGCTTCCCAAGCCCTAACCGGCATCAATCTGCTGGTCCCGTCGCAGATTGGGTCGATTCTGGTTGAGATTGACCCCTCCGCCGCACGGGTTCTCCTCGCGTTCAGCCACCTTCCCCTTCGGCAATCTGATCTGCCCTTCCTTGTGCGGTTCCACACGATTCTAGCCAACATCTCCAAGTCTGAAAACCCTAGCCTTTTCTCTGGGAAGATCCGCCTCCTTCCCCAGCTTCCGATCATCATTTGCCCTCAGATTGATGCCGATTGATTCAGATCTGAGCGATATCGCACCAGATCGCGAAAAATTGCTTGGAGTGTCATCGGCCTCGCGCGATTCCAGATCTCTTCGCGTTTTCTCTAAGGTCGTTCGTCAGTTTTGACGCTCCAAATCTGGTTGCGACGAGCCACCACCAGAAACATAAAGATCTGAAATCATTCCTACGTTCTATGGCTAAACCTTCATATTCGTTTTCGAAAGCAATCTTTGTGTTGGTCTGAAGTGTTAAAGCAAATTCATCTTGAATTCACTCCAACAAACAAATGGTCGTCTTCTATCCTCCCACTGAAACCAATCTAGTGCGTCATCTTCCATGAATTCCTCTGCAAACCAAATCTTTTCACGTTCTGAAAATCGATATTTTTGATCATATTCTTCCACTTTTACGATCCAAGAATCTGGATATTCTCCTGAGAACATTGGCATTTCTAATCGCTGCCAACGTCCACACGTTCCAGCCATTTCTATACCCAAGAAAGTGCTCTGATACCAAATTGATAAGCTCCAATCCAAACAATCAATTGAAAATGACAAATCGGAATGAGAAATGCTAACAGTGAAGCTTTGATTAATATCAATGGCGGAAATTGAGTTACAGAAAGAGATATGGGGATATTTGCGAGATCCCATGCTCTCCCTAAACTATCTTCTCTCAGAAGTTTCACAAACTGAATAATGCTCCCTTATTCTACCTCCGTTCTATTTATACTCACTATCTCTTAATCCACTCACCAATCCCAAGGCCTTAACTAACTACTAACTACTTAACAAACATAACAAACCAACCCTAATCAGAAACCACTAACCACTTATTATATTGATTACTAATTACTAACATAATCCTATCAAGTGATTGGGGCTTCTAGGAAATTTAGGTACCTTGGGTCCATAGTGCAGTGTGAAGGGGATATAGATGAGGATATTGGACATAAGATTAAGGCGGGGTGGGTTAAGTAGAAGAATGTCACGGGAGTTTTATGTGATGATAAGATGCCTATTAAGTTGAAAAGAAAATTTTATAGCACAACAATTCGCCCAGCTATGTTATACGGTAGTGAATGTTGGGCTATCAAGAGACAACAAATATACAAGATGAGTGTGGCGGAGATGCGTATGTAAAGATGGATGAGTGGCCATACGAGGATAGATCGCATACGGAGTAAAGTTATTCGTAGTAAAGTAGGTGTAGCACCAATAGAAGATAAGGTGCGGGAAAACCATCTGAGGTGGTACGGGCATGTACAACGTAGATCGTTAGATGCACCTGTTTGTGTTTGGGAGAACATCCAAATACCTAGTACTAGGAGAGCGAGGGGTAGACCAAGAATTACTTGGGCCGACGTAGTTAAGCACGACTTTCAAGATCTAGGGTTTCAGGAGGGTCTCGTGTTTAATAGAACAGACTGGAAACAAGAAATCCATATAGTCGACCCCAACTAATTTGAGATTAAGGCTTGTATTTGTTGTTGTTGTTGTATAGCTAACTTAGTTTCTTGTTTCGCGTTACTTAAATATCTTTAACGCATCTGTTAGAACTTTCTATAATACTTCATTATTCAGTAAAATTTGTAGAAATCAAAGACATTTAAAGATGGCATCCAAGATTCTTGCAGATCCTTAAGTCAAGTGGGAAACGTGTACTGCCATATGATTGATGTGGAATTTTGGAAAGTCACAACCTTAATATATAAATCAAATGAGAAATAAACACTCACATGAATGTCCTATCACGACTACAACAATAAAACACAGCTACATAAAAAGCGTCTTGCTAAAATAACAGAGAACGCGTAAATTAGTAAATTAATCAAATTTCTTTCAAATAAGCCTTTTACGAATAGGATCAAGGTACCACTGAATATTGCGGAATTTTCTGAAGCCGAAGAGTCACTTCTGTTATTACACCAAGAGTTCCTTCACTTCCAATTAAAAGACGGGTCAAGTCGTACCTACAAGATATGAAGTCTGAGGTTAATACAATTCTTAAGCTAAAACCAAAGATTGTGAATATGTGATATAAAGGCCACGAATTCAAAAAAACCATCAGACATGAGACCACCTAAGTGGTTTCACAGTTCAAACGTGTCTTGCAGAAAATTAATTGTTCTGCTGATTATATTACTCTAAATGCTGTCTCTGCACATAATTGAATATCAGAAGTATTTTTCCCCTTTTTTTTCAAGTAATCAAATTTCATAGTACTGCTTCTAAGGCAAAAAAATTCAGTAGAAAAAAATAATTAGACAATGTCAGCTCAAAAGAACTATGAAGGCCTGTGAAAAACAAGAAATTAAAATTAAATAAAAAATCTACCCTGCAGCACTCTTTCGAGCACGAGATGCCGTCTTTACAACATCTCCATCGGCGAGAACTACCTGGAACATAAACAACATATAAAATACATAATACATTAATATTCAGATATCACAGGTAAGGATTAACCAACCCTAGTATTGTTCAAGCATCGAAAAGAAAAAATAGTAATAGAAAAAGAACCTTAAGATTAATGACATTGTCGCGCATTGTTCCATACCTACATGCTAAATATAGTCATTAAAATGAATCACAATTTTAAAGCATAAAAATTACATCTTGAGAAGTCTCGTTTGCTGTGTTTAGTAAAAAAATTTAATGCATAACTTGAGGTTTTCAAAGAAAACGGGAAAAAATTAAAAAAAAAAAAAAGTAGGGGGAACTCATGAATCTTTCAAAAATTTCTGGAAATCTAGTTGATGGGTTGATAACCCACAAGAAGGCATTCTACCCACAAGGCGGATACTTCGGATCCCACTTGGACAAATTGAAAGATATTGTCGATAAATGGAAATCTTTGGATTTTTTATATATCTCAGATTTTCTCGCGTATTAAAGTTGGGCGTGCACAAAATTCACATGGCTTGAGATATGTTAATGAGATAGGACTAAGCCAAAGTTTGACGTCCTTATATACCTCTCTAAAACTAATAAACTACATAACTACACGAACTATTAAAGTTATCGATTGATTACTTAAAAAAGCTCCCTTATAGTAGACAGGCAAAGGCTGATCCTGAAGCTTGCAATGCTTGAATTTCGATAGGCAATAAGCTTATAACAAAGCGGGAAAGAGGAGGAAAAAGTCATCTAAATAAGAGTAAAGGTAAAGGTAAAGCTTCATTAAAAAAAAAAAAAAAAGAGGCAGAACGACTACCTGACAGCTAATGAACCTGAGCAACGTGTAGCACACATACCCCCAATGGTTGCACCAGGTCCTGCACATTTTTGAAGTACATGAAAATCTAAAAGTTCAAAATCAACCAAACCCCCTAACCAAATCCAGCTCATAAGCGTTCTTGATGCAGCATGAAATTGTTACATATGTCAGAGCGGGG